TGTGACTATGTATTATTTCTGGGTCCGGGCAAGGTGGGATTGTGTTGCCTTTTTATAGTCAAATCATACCCTTTATAGATAAAAAATATTATTATAAATATATGAAAATACAACTGAAAACTAATAAAATTAGTCAACAATCAATTAAAAAAGAAAAAAATAAATAAAATTGACGGGAAAGTGGCTGTGGAAAGTCACTACCGGTGCCTTAACGCAAAAATGTATGATAACCGCCTAATGAAATGTAGGTGTAACATATCACTACACAACAAAAATAGAGAATTTTAAGTTTTTTTTTGCCATTAAATTATAGTAATTGTTAAATTAACTTTATAAAATGGACATTTTCAATAAAATATTTTTTATCCATTATATAAATATAAAATAATATTATTCAAACTATTTAATTTTATATGATCGTTTTTCATATTAATCAAGTTAGTTTATTTAAATTTGAGTTGATTGATTATTTAAGTTGGAGATAATTATTTATTATGCTTCTTGGTGATTTTTTTCACAAACAAATTAGGAACATAACAAATATCCTTTGATAATTTTAATAAAAATAAAATAATTAAACCAAACACTTTTATCATTTTAATTATGTTTTTAGATTTTTTTTTTACTATTACTACATTTGATAATAATCCTTATTTAAAAAAAATTAAACTCATCATATCCATTATCTCCGAGTAAAAAACTGTAACAGACAATAGGTCTAAAAATCCTTAATTTAGTTTTTACATATAGGATGTATAATTAACGATGAATATCATTAATTTAATTTATAAAAATTTAAAATTCTAAAGACCAACGTATAGTTAAAAATAAGTTAAAATTTAAAGGTAAATTATTTAAAATAAATGATAAATTATATCAATGACCACCTAACTATTGCCCTTTTCCATTTTGACTATCATTTTTGAAATTTTTTCAATCAGGTCACTCAACTATTTAAATGTATTCAATTAAGTCACTTATCGTTAATATTTAATAGAGAAATTAACGTGACAGTTAAAATATTTAGTATACTTTTAACTTATTTTTCTTAGCAATCAGAAGGTGACAAGTGTCACCAGGGACAAAGCCATAATTAAATATTGGTAGGGGCTGAAATAATAGACTATTTAAGAACAATATAAAGACTTATTAGGTATTTAAACTCAAAATTCAGCATGAACCAAGCGACCTTAGTGATTAAGGGATTGTTGTTATACTTAAGGTCCCGAGTTCAAGCACGTATGTAGGGGTATGAGCGTTCATTGTCAAATAGTTGAAAGTCTTTGTACAAATATTACCTTGTATTCACCCTAAATTAAAAAAATCAAAACTCAAAAGACAACTTCTAAATTGTCTAATATTTAAACTTACAATGACTTAAATTATAATTAGACCAAAAATTTAAGAACACATACTTATCATTCTTTAGTTTGACCCCTACTTGATTAAATATTTAATAAATTTTTATATTTTTAATTTTAAATATTTATTTTTACATGAACCAAAATACTATTAAACCTAAATTATATCGAATATATAAATTTTAACAGGGGTCGGGGCCCCTTGGGCCCCAAAGGAGCTTTGTCCCTGTGTGTCACCCTCTAGAGAAAAGAAAATTTTGGTCGCTTAAATGATTACCAGGGAATTGAACATGAGGTTCCCAAGTTGAAGAAGTAAAGCTCAACCATTAAACCAAAGTAGTTAATTGTGTTGAACTATATTTTGATATAACAATTAAGGCAAAAAAAATTTGGACTTGAATTGAATTTATTCAAAGTTTTCAAAAATAATTTAAAGCCCTTAAAAGTGGATTTGAGCACTAAATGATTTTCACGTACAAGTAGTACCGATACTGTAAGAACAGTATCGATACCTCATGAACAGTATTGATAATGAACAGTATCGACACTGTTCATATGGTACCAATACCAAGGTGAGGGAAGTATCGATACTCACTAGGTAGTATCGATACTATCAACATTGCTCAAATTCCAGAATGCAAAAATGGTACTGATACCCAAAGGGGTACCGATACTACTTTGTATAGTAGTATCGATACCATAAGGCCCCAATGGCTAGTAACAGGTAGTTGATTTAAAAATAACAAAGGTAGTATCGATACTCCCTTTAGGAGTACCGATACCCTCTGTACTGGGCAGTTTTATTTTGCACAAAAATTGATCTTCAACGGCTAGAAACGGCCACAACAACATTTCAACATATAAATACAAATTGAGGACACTTGAAGAAAGGTTAGAACACCTATCCAAGCAATCAAACAAAAGAGAAGAGTTTTTCACTTTTTATTCAAATTCTCTTGTAAATATTTTGTTCTTGTGAGCTTAAATTTGTAAACACCTACCTTGAAGGGTTTTTTTGTTTACATTTCTTTTCCTTTTGTAAAAGGGGTTTGGTTCTATCTTAGCCAATTGAAAAGATAGAGAGTTGTAAAGGTTACTCTTGATCCTTGAAAAAGAAAGAACAAATTAGTGAATTTGTTAGAAAGTCCTTAGTGAGGAGCTAAGGTAGTGGAGGTAGACTTGGTTGAGAAGTCGAATCACTATAAATCTTTGTGTTCATTGTCTTATCTTTACTCTCCTTACTCCCTAAACTAATTTTTATCAATTTATCCCATTTGCACATTTTTCGGTTGTTTGATTTGAGCCTCTTCGATCATAACAAATTGGTTCAAATTTGACTACATATGCTATTTATGTTGTATATTAGTGTAAACTTATAATATTAATATTTTATATACCTTAACTTAAATTCACATATTCAATTAATTTTACATCTTAACTTTAAAAATATATTTTATTTTTATATTAACTTATTAAATATATTTTATTACATTCTTAACCTAAAAATATATTTTAATAATTTATCTTAACTTAAAAAATATTTTTTATACTTATCTTAACTTATTACATAAATTATATTCTTAACTTAAATTATTAAATATATTATATTATTACCTTAAATTATTAAATATAATTAATTCTTATTTTAACTTAAACATATCTTTTATTCTTATCTTAACTTAAAAATATATTTTTATTTTAACTACAAAAATATATTTTATTTTTATTTTAACTACGAAAAATATATTATAATTTTATCTTAAATTTAAAATATTATCATAATAAAATATAAATATTTAAGTTAAGATAAAAATAAAATATATATTTTATTTAATATAAGATTAAAATATATTTTAAAATTAAAATAATAATAAAATATATATTTTAGGTTATGAAAAGAATAAAATATATTTAAAAAAGTCACCCTCTAATCGGTGAGAAAATATATTAAATTAAAAATAAGTTAAAATGAATTTAATCGTCCAATCGGATGGTAACACATGTCATTACACTTGGAAATAGTGACAAATGTCACTATTTGATTTGAGAGTTAAGTTTATTTTAATTTATTAAAATTAAGAACGAATTGATCGAATATATAAGTAAAAGTGACCAAATATATAACTATACCAAATATTTTAGCTACCACATCAGCTTCTCCATTAAATATTAACGACAAATGGCTTAATTGAATGCATTTAAATAGCTGAGTGACCCGATTGACAAAATTTCAAAAATAATGATCAAAATGAAAATGGTCAATAGTTAAATGGTTATTGGTATAGTTTAACTTTTATTTTAAATAATTTACCTATAATTTTTAATTAATTTATAATTCTACGTTGAGTCATTTAGAATTTTAATTTTTTATAAATTAAATTAATAGTGTTCATCAGTACTCATCGAGCGTTGTAGAATTTTCCTTATATATATATATATATATATATTATTAAACAGTTAATTATTGGAAAAAATGTACTTAAGGTCCCTATATTTTTTTAAAAATACTAATGTGGCCCTCAAACTTAAAAGACAAACCCAATGTAGCCTTTTAACTAACGATTTTCATTGTTGACAGTTACGGTGCTGACATGACATCTAACGATACTAACATGATTGTCCATGGTGGTTGATGATGTGACATATGGATTAAATTGATTTTTTTATCAAATTCAAGAGTCAAATTGGTTTTTTAAAAGTTCAATGGCTTATTTGATTATTTTAGAGAAAATATTTAAAATATATAAAGATATTAAAATAAAAATTAAATTACTAAAAAAATTAAAATATATATATATATTAATCAGAGTGATTAAAACATAAAATATTGTAGTTAAATGCTTCATTGAATTTAGAGAGGAATTCTAATGTGATTTTTATTTATTTTAGTAGTATATTTACAATTTTATATATGTTACATGTCAACTCTAAGAATTTGCTATTCAAAAATTTAAAAAAATGTTAGGGTTGATAAAAAACCTCAAACACATGGTGTCTAGACTATATCCACCCTGACTTTATAAAATTTATACGGGATGGAGGAGTTCACGTTTATATAAATTAAAATAGGAAAAATTTAAGGTAATAATAATATTTTTTTAATTTTTTTAGTATTTTTAGTATTTTTTATTTTTAATATTTAAATTTAAACAATTTTATATTTTAATTTAAAATTTATTCATTTTTTTAAAATAATTAAATAAGTTATTTAACCTTTAAAAAAATTAATTTGTATCTCAAACTCGACTAAAAAAATCAAATTTAACCCAACAACCACGTTATTAGCTACCTTATCAACTATCGTAGACCATCACGTCATAATCGTAAAGTGTCATATTAATATCGTAATGACCAACGATAAAAATTATTGGTCAAAAGATCATATTAAATTTATTTTCTAAATTTAAGAACCACATTAAATATAAAAATAATTCAAGGGTCACATTAATTTTTTAAAGAAAAGTATATATACCTCATATATCTTTTACCTTAATTATTTAATGTGAAAATTTCAAGATAGATGGGTATAGACCCGGTCCATTTATTCAATAGAAAGGCCCAGACCTTTCTCGAACTTCATACGGAAAGCAAACAGTTCACGCTCACATTACCCGTTGCCTGAAATATTGACCAAAACCATTTCCAACGCTACAACCCCTATAAAATTTATCAATGATCACAGATTTCAATTAATCTTTGGAAAACAAGGAAATCAACCACACGCAAACTCATCTCAAAGTTTACGATCCAACTCGGAAGAGATTAAGGGGAATTTCTTTTTGGAGTTATGGATTTCGAGCTAAGGAGAGCAAGAGAGAAGCTTGATAAAGAACAGAGGGAGAGGAAGGAAAGGGCCAAGTTGAAATTAGAGCGAGAGAGGAAAGCAAAAGAAGAGGCCAAGAAACAACGAGATGCCATTGAAGCTGCTCAAAGATCCAGAAGGCTGGATGCCATCGAAGCTCAGCTTAAGGTACTACTATTGCCCCCGACCTTTGCTTTCCGGTTCTCAATTCATTTTATTGGTTTTTCTTAATATATGTTTTTATCCGTCGATCGAATTTTTGAGTAATTCTTTTAGGTCGTTGAAATTAACTTCTGTCGTCGCTGTTACGCAATTAGATGGAAATTATTTTATGTGGAGAAGTTATTGAGTTATTCAATCTTTAGCATTATTGAGATCATATTTATTATGAGGACGCGCATCATAAATTCGATACGGAAACGATGCTTTACTTGAAATTGCTAGAAACTTGGGTTTGAAATAGAAGAATCTTTGAAATAATGAATATGTGTTGGTTTTTGGAGAGAAAAATGAAAGCCTGTGCAGCCGCTTGGTTTGAAATAGAAGAATCTTCATTCTTCATCATTCCAGAACCAGGGTTTTGTGCAGCCATTCCTAATAAGTGGAATTCTATAGGCCTGGATTTGAATTCTAGCACTTGCAACCCCTATCCTTATTCTTGGGCTTTTGCCTTCTTTGTACCATGAAAAGATATTTGCCCTCTACATGAACCGTAATTTGGATTGTGACATTTTTGGAAAATTTTAAGTTTTAATTCTCGAACATACCTTGACTTGACTACTCTGTATATTTCAATCTACCATGGTTTAGTTATGAACTCTTATGATGATTAAACGATGATTGAGTTCATGTAATGTATGCATAGAGAGCCTGCATAAATGATTTAAACAGAGTTGAATTATTTTACATTATGACATCTTTTAGTGCTTGCATGGATGCTTTAAAAATGAGTTGAATAATTTTGCATCATGACATTTTTTGGTATATTCAGTAATGCCGTTACTGGTTTTTTCCCCTTTATCTTGATTAGGCTGAACAGCAAATGGAAGAGAGTTTACTTTCAGGAAGAGGAATAGTGTTTTATAAAATCTTGGAAGCTGTACCTTTTCAGGGTAGTGGAGATAAGATCAAATTGCCACCATCCTGTTTCACAGAATTGTCTAATCAAGGTGCATTTGACAAGGGACCGATGTACTTTCAGTTGTCGCTAGTTCATCAAGAGGGTTCTTCAAATACTACGGATGACGAAAAGGAAAATAGTAGAACCACTCATTCAGGTGTTTTGGAATTCACTGCAGATGAAGGTTCAGTCGCAATTCCGCCTCATGTATGGAGTAATTTGTTCCCTGTGGACACTCCAATGGTTCCCTTGGTTGAGGTTCGTTATGTTCGACTTCCGAAAGGTACATATGCGAAACTTCAACCTGATGGAATTGGCTTTTCTGACTTACCAAATCACAAGGCGATCCTTGAAACAAGCCTTCGTCAGCATGCTACCCTCTCTCAAGATGATGTTCTTACAGTTAAATATGGGGAATTCACATATAGTTTACGAGTTCTTGAGCTGAAACCCTCTTCAAGCATATCTGTCTTGGAAACAGATATTGAGGTGGATATTGTCAACCCTGGCGTTGAATCAGAGAGGACAGATCAGTATGTCCTAAAACAACTTGTGTTTGGGACAACAGAATCTGGATCAGTTGAGGAGGGAAATTACATGTTTTATAAGTTCTCTATTGATGATGATACATGGGAAAAAATTGTTTCTGATGATGTCAAAATAGAGGTAAAGATAGATGCAGAGACAAATGGTGGAGATACTGACCTTTATGTATCCAGGCATCCCCTAATATTCCCAAACCGGCACCAACACGAATGGTCTTCCCATGATGTTGGTTCGAAGACTTTGATCCTCACTTCCAAAGATAGGAACTTGGGTACTGGTACTTACAGCCTTGCTGTCTATGGATTCAAAGGAACAACCAAGTACCAGGTATCGGTGCATGTTCAAGAGAACAGCAAGCGTAAGGCGGGACAACAAGTCATGCATTCATCTTCAATGGAGGTGGATACAGTTGAGTGTCGAAATTGCAAGCATTTTATACCCAGTAGGAGTATAGCACTGCATGAAGCATACTGTAGTAGACATAATGTTGTTTGTCCACATGCTGGTTGTAGCATAGTTCTTAGGATGGAAGAGGCCAAAAATCATGTGCATTGCAACAAATGTGGGCAAGCTTTTCAATCAGGAGAGATGGAAAAGCACATGAAAGTGTTTCATGAACCACTTAGGTGCCCTTGTGGAGTAGTCCTTGAGAAGGAAGACATGGTAAGCCACATTCCTTTTGTAGTCAATTTATTTTGATTTACTTTTTTTATTAACTAGGGCATTAAAACTGGCACCTTTTTCTTTTATTTCATAAGTGGAAATTCATTCATGAAATTAATTAACTATTGTTGTGGTTCTGTACGAATGTTGGTTACTGCATAACTTATATGGTCTGTCATTCTGTGACAGTTCAAGTTAAAAGATGGTATACAAACTAGCCCTTTCTATGCTAGTGGATGATGGATAAGACCAAGCATGAATCCTAGTAGTAAATTACAGGTTTAGGTGTTTTATTAGGTTGTAAATACCTTGTAGGATATTGGTTTTTAGTGCTGCTAGTGCAGTCAACATTTTCTAGTATGGTCTAGCAAAATCAAAGGTTTTCCTTTTCTAGATATAGAACTTCAAATGGCTGGCACCCTGTTGTGGCATCATGATCTTTTGTTTAGCTCTTAATAGTAGATGAAACAAGAACCCAGTGATTGGAAATCGAAACTTCAGGTGCATCTTTCTTTTCTTATTTATAAAATTTTTCTTTCATTTTATATGGATAGGTGCAACACCAAGCCTCGGATTGCCCCATGCGCTTAATCACATGTCGGTTTTGTGGAGACATGGTTCAAGCCGGAAGCTCTGCCATGGATGTTCGGGACAGATTAAGAGGACTGTCGGAGCATGAGAGCATTTGTGGCTCAAGGACTGCTCCATGTGATTCTTGTGGGCGTTCTGTAATGTTGAAAGACATGGACATGCACCAGGTTGCCGTTCACCCGAAGAACTAATGTCAACTCTACTTCCCGATTCCGGTAAAGTTCAAAATTGTTCACTCAAAAAGAAACACACCCCCTCCTGCGGTTGTGCTTGAATCAAAGAAACTTATGTGATTATTTGTATTGATTATAATAACAATGGGGTTTCGTTTGTTTTTGGCTTGTGAGAAAAGGCAAATATTAATCATGTGAATGGCATTCGTTACATAATAAGCATTGCAGAAACTCGGGCAACTTCGCTAATACAGTTTATTAGAAACGGTGGCCTTTTTAAATCGCAGATTTTTAGCTCAACTTTCTTTTGTTGGATGAAGCTCTTGAAACTTTGATCGGTTTCAATGGCAGCCTGTCCGCTTTTGAACTTTTTTGTTCCTACTGTAATTTTATTTTTATATTCTCGTTTAATATTTCATGTTTTCTATTCATACTGTTGTTATCAAATAATTGTAAATTTTCGTTATCGTTAACAAGTTAATTAATCGAATCGTTAAAATTAAACAATTTTGGTTAATTGAATCGTTAAAAATGATGGTCAACGGTTAAAGTTACGGTTATGAATTTTGATAAACGGTTAATGTTAATAAATTAAATTTATAATTATATTTATTATTTATTATTTTTTGAACAAATAACTTAATATAATTTTTAATATTTTTAATAAAATTTGTACACAATAGTTTTCATTATTTTTAATATATATATATATATATATATATATTAATAATATTTATACCCAAGGAACTTAATATATATTTTTTTATTTTTTATTTATTTTTTTTATATCTTTAAAAATACATAAACATATTTACACAAATATTTTATCATTATTATTGTAAACATGTGTTAAGTGCTACAAATTTTTATTTCATTCACTTATAATCAGGGGCGGACCTCCATGATACCCGGGATATCCCGGGCAACCCCTCATCCAAGGGCAGACTTCCATGGTGCCCGGGGTATCCCAAGCAACCCCTCCACAAGTGTCACCCCTCAAAAGTGTCACCCATGGGGCTCTTGCAACCCCTAAATTTTTGTCTTGGTCCGTCTCTGCTTATAACGGTGTAGGTATATATTATGTGCTATATTTTAATTTTATTTTATTCACTTACACCGATGTAAGTATGTGTTAGACGCTATAGTTTAATGTAATATGAATTATCAAATTTTTTTACAAATAATTATAATATTCATATGTTAACCAGTTATCAAACCGTTACTAACAGTTAATCGTTAGCGGTTAACCTTTTTTAACAGTTAGGTTACATTTAGAAAAATCTCATAACCGTTATAACAGTTAATCAATCGTTTAGGCTAAACGGTTCGATTAACTATCCATGAACAACCCTACTCGAAGTACTAGATACTCAATTTTTTAGGTAGTATACTTGTTGATTCCTGTTCAAGCTCGTTAAATCTGGGCATCCATTAGTCAGATACCTGTAAAATCCAAGTACCTGTATTTTCGGGTCACGGTTATGAGTTCATATATATTTTTTACTTTTTAAAATTCAATTTTTTATAAAAAAAATCATTTATGAAACAATTATATCTCAAATTCTCTCTTAACGACTGGGAGAACAAAAATATTAAATTTAAAAATTAAAGTAGACTAAAAATGAATCAATTTAATATAAAAAGGTAAAATATATTCTAATTATGTAATATATTATATCGATTATTTCTTTAAATTTCTGATTATGCTAATATCTCGGATTAAACGAATATTTATTTTCTTATCTTATGCTATAATTATTTAATTAATATTTCTTGTACTATTTATTTTTGCAATGCTAGAGATCAAAGACGTGCTTTTGGGGGGAAAGTGGAGGGCAATGGGTAGCCGTTATAGATCGCATCTATTCAAATTTCTCGCACAGGCCATCTACCGACAAATGGATTGTATAAATCAATGCAACAAATAATGTGAACATCAATAGTTGTTTTTAGTCTTTCCAATTACTTTGCTTCTTTAATCTTTCGACTTTCTGGAAAAAACACCGAATAGGAATTACTGTGCCATTCCCAGTTGTAATTCTTCTTCAACTTCGATTTGATTTCTGACCGCAGAATTAGAAGAAGAAGAAACTAGCTTTTCTTCCCTTCTCAAATTATCGCTCGTTCACTGATCAGTGATCATTTCTTGGGGCGAAGAAAACAAAAAAGAAGCGTTTTGAAGTGTTTATTACTGAGTTTTGTCTCATCTGTTTCTGCTTCTCGTGAGTTTAAACTGCATTGGACTCCAAACGCTTTGTTTTTTAGGTTCAATAAGGGTGATAACGTCTATCTTTTTAGTGTTTGCTTCATTGTTGAGAAGAGGAGGAGGGAGTTATATGATAACTTAAAGAGTTTCTGTTTGGTTGCCTAGAAAATCTGGGCAAAAAATGGACTTAACTTCGGCAGTTATTTCCCTTTTTTATCCTAATGTTGTTCGGTTGTTTTTTTTCTGGTTTAGTAGGCATGTTTTTGTTCGATTGTTTATGCTTATATGTTAATTGTTCATAAATTCTTGTTTCATTTCGGATTTAAGAGTGATGAATGATGGTTTATATGAGTTCCAGATTTCAGAGGAAATTTGTTTTTCTTTCGAGTTTTCATCTAAAAGATTTTATTGACAAAAGAAAAGAGAATCACCAAAATATTGGTATTTGATTTCAACTTTTTTACTCTTTTTATTTTTTATTTTTTTGGTACAAGGCATTGGAGATAGCTCTTCCCAAAGCACACAAAAGTCAAAAGTAGCTATAAATTAAAACAATAAATATTTTTGGCCAAACGATTAGACTTTTTTTTGGCTAGTTGTTACCTCAATTTGCTTAGATTAAGCTTTACCCTTTTTCCCTCTGAAAAAGAAAATTTCCTTTCTATTTTCAGGGAAGTAGTCATTGTTCAATGTTGAAGCAAATTCATGGCTACTCTAAGTGATATTGGACTTGCAGCAACTATCAATATTCTCAGTGCATTTGCTTTCTTTTTGGCATTTGCGATTCTTCGGATTCAACCGGTGAATGACAGGGTTTACTTCCCCAAATGGTATATCAAAGGTTTAAGGAGCAGCCCTTTGGCGAATGGTGCATTTGTAAGCAAGTTCGTGAATTTGGACTTCAGGTCATATGCCAGATTTCTCAACTGGATGCCTGCTGCACTCCAAATGCCAGAGCCCGAGTTGATCGACCATGCTGGATTGGATTCCGCTGTTTACTTGAGGATTTACTTGTTGGGGTATGTATGCTACTGTTTGTTCAATTCCATGCCAGCTCTGTGGACCATGGCCGGCTTTAGTGAATGCACAATGCACTAGATTCTACTAGTTAACAATTTGCAAGTTACATGGAAAAGAGAAAACTAGGTTGATATTACATTGGTAATCAGATCATTTGAATGTTCCATAGATGTCTGAATGTGCTTGTTGTGCCGAATAATATATGCTTTCATACAAGCTGCAGTAATATCTAGGCTGATTGGTAAATTAACCGGCATAAAGAGATTCAGTAAAAAAACATTAAGGCTTAAACAAGATAGTAAAGAACTGGCAAAGTGGCAACACGGATATTTATGTCAGTTTGATTTTCTCTTTGGGGAAGCTTTTGCTGTTCTCTTGAGTCATGTCTTGGTAATAAGGAGAATTCAGTTCATCCTTTGGGGTTCATGTATGCGTATATAGGTGCCTTAACTTATGTCAATTCAATAGAAGAACCCGCTTTTTTTTTTAAACTTGAATGAACCATACCTTTTTTACTATGTAAATTAAATGATCTTACTCTGAACTGTTGTATTGAATTCATAATGAGATTGTAAACCTGTAATTCTATTGCAAAGACAAAGTTGATTACTGAGTGCCTTGGACTAATGTGATGTCTTTTCTTACCCTATCTTCTTTGAAGTGCAGGCTAAAAATATTTGTTCCTATTGTGTTCTTAGCATTTACAATCATGGTACCAGTTAATTGGACCAATAATACCCTGGAACATTCAGGCTTAACATTCAGTGACATCGATAAGCTCTCCATATCAAATATTCCAAATGGATCAGAAAGGTATGCAGAACTTTCTCATTCCGAGCTGTATCTTTTCCATTTCCCTTTAGCTTTTGAAATAACTTTCTGACATAGTTTATGATTTCTACAAATACCCGACTCAGTTCCATAACCGTTAACAATTTTAATACATTTTTTTGTTTGCAGATATTGGACACATCTGGTCATGGCTTATGCCTTTACTTTTTGGACATGCTACATGCTGAAACGAGAATATGAGATAGTAGCAGCAATGAGATTACATTTCCTTGCATCAGAACAACGGCGCCCAGACCAATTTACGGTAAGCACAATTCATCTATTAATTTGAAGCTGAATTTTCTCTTTCTGAAATCTACATGCTCCAAGCAAATTATTGAGATTTATATCATTAAGTTCAAAAGGAAAAGCCAGTCAGATGGTCTTATTGTAGTGGCTCTTTTTCTTGCTAGCTCTGAAGATTTATCATCTTAAATATATTTTTTCTAACACCATTTTGTTGGTAAAGGTACTGGTAAGAAATGTCCCACCTGATCCCGATGAATCAGTTAGTGAGCTTGTCGAACATTTCTTTCTTGTCAACCATTCAGATCACTATCTCAGTCATCAGGTTTGATAGTATACATATACATCAACATATCCTTAAATATAAATCTTTGGGCATGTTAAGCTGCATTTGAACTCATTTGAATGCTGAAATATACTTCCTCTGTTTTTTGTCATAATTATTTGCTTGCAGGTTGTTTATAATGCTAACAAGCTTTCAGGATTGGTCAAGGAGAAGAAGATAATTAATAATTGGCTCGACTACTATAAAAACAAATACGAAAGGAATCCATCTATGAGACCTTTACTGAAGGTAAACTTTTTGCAAATAATGTGACAATTAACATCTAGAAATATTTTTTTCTATCCTTGCTTTTTACATTATTAAGTTGCTTTCAATAGTTTGCTTTATCTTTTAGAATTCAACTAGAAATAAAGATGATTAGCTCATGGTTGTGTGTGCATGTTTTCCTGGATAACTGACATCTTTGGATGAATTTCTCTTCCATCAAGCAGACGGGTTTCCTTGGCCTTTGGGGAGAAAGCGTAGATGCAGTCGACTTTTATACAGCGAAAGTTGAGAGATTATCTAGAGATGTAACATTTCTTTTTCTGCAGTCAACTTTCCTTAGAAAATCAACTATATTGCTTTGGCACATTATTTTTATGAAGTATTTGTGCTCAACATCATATTGATGTTTGATTGTATGTTTAGATATAGGTATAGAGATATGATCCTGTAATGACTCTAAATGCATGATTCTTTTTAATGAACATAAATGTGCTGGGCACATATCTATGTCACTCACAACAGGATCGATGTATCTCTATTGACTGCGGGTTTAAGGCATTTTTTTTTCTTTCCAATCAAGAAATTCTTACATGCTAATCTAACCCCAGTTTTATTTGAAGCTGACCTATGTAGTTATTACACATTTCTGATTATTTTCTGTTCTGCTTCTCCATTCATTGGTTAGTTATCAGTTGTCAGTAGCTATGTTGTTCGTACCCTTCACTTTTTATGAAGTATTCATGTCTGACACTCGTGTCCGACACTTGAATATGGGGATGTGACCTCCAAGGATCCTCTAAATATATGGAAAAACATAGAAAAACTTAACCATATCCGTGTACGTTAAATACCCATGTCTTACACTTACACCTAAGCCCGAGTAACATAGAGCTCAAATACTCATTTTAATGTCCCAATTTGACGACCAATGTAATGGTTAGTTGTTCCTTAAGCTTATTATGATAATAAGTGATATTAATCATGGCTTCAGACTCAAAAGCTTGTAGGTTTAAACTGCATGCATGCATCATGAATGTCCAATCATTGGTTTCAGTTTTTAAATCAACATTATTGCTTGAAATGATTATCTCAATAGTATTTTTTGCATTTTTCTTTCTTAATCTTTGAACTTATCAGCAACTTATTTGCATTCAAATTGTGTAAGTGAAAGTGTGTTCTTAATCTTCTGTTCCCTCCATGACTGCCAGATATCCGCGGAGAGGGAGAAGATTACTAACAACCCTAAATCAATCATGCCGGCAGCATTTGTTTCCTTCAAAACTCGATGGGGAGCTGCTGTTTGTGCACAAACTCAACAATGTAGGAACCCGACTATATGGTTGACCGAGTGGGCTCCGGAACCACGAGACGTGTACTGGGAAAACCTTGCAATTCCATTCGTTTTTCTCACAATCCGGAGGCTCATTGCAGCTGTTGCATTTTTCTTCCTTACATTCTTTTTCATGTTTCCTATCGCAATCGTACAGTCCCTTGCTAATATAGAGAGCATTGAGAAAGCACTTCCTTTCCTTAAACCTATAATCCAAGCGTGAGTTTTCTTCTTCTCCTCCTCCTTCTTTATAATATTCTTGGCCTTGCAATGAATAGCAAAGGAAATTGTGTTCGTCCTTTTATTGCTTTTAGGCCAAGCTTTATTAGCAAATAACTATTGTAGCTGCTAAAACTTTCTTTAGCTTATATAATATTTTTTATACTTTTTGTTCAACTGCATAAAATTAATAACATTAATATTTCTGAAGGAAATTCATAAAGTCATTCATTCAAGGCTTTCTCCCTGGGATTGCTCTGAAGATATTTCTTATATTTCTGCCCACAATATTGATGATAATGTCGAAGTTCGAAGGATTTATTAGCCTATCAGATCTGGAAAGGAGATCAGCAAGTAGATATTATTTCTTCCAATTTATCAATGTGTTTCTCGGGAGCATAATCACTGGAACTGCATTTCAGCAACTAAATCAGTTCATACATCAGTCTACCAATGAGTATGTTCTCATATAGCCTTATTTGCCTTAGTTCTATATCACTGGACAAGCTTACGTTCATGTGCATGTGCAGTCTAGTATTTATTGTCATGTTTTCTGTTGTCTATTTTATCCTTAATGGCCTTGAGAGTTCAGGAACTAATTTAGCAGTGGTAACATAGCTAGTACAGCCAGATTTGCTCTGGTTAAATACTGCTCATTCCTGCCATTCATCCCATCTAGTAGCTTCTAGTTCTTAAATTACGTTACGACTCGGGTGTTGAATATTATCTTGTCTAACACAGATATGTTCAAATTTGTAAATTTTTTCTATGTATTCGGGGGGCCAATAGCTCTGTACCATTGGCTGAATGTGCTTCAAGCAGTTCCTTTGCTCTTTGATTTCCTCATTTACTCTGATTAGTTTTTCTACCATGAAATCTGAACACTCCTATGTTGCTTGTGTGGATCATGAGAGACCATACAATGCTTAACTAGTTGGTTTTATCAGTGATGTTATCATTCAAATGTTTCTCTTATATGTCCGCATGGGGCAACTTGTAGGATACCAAAGACAATTGGTGCGTCAATTCCAATGAAGGCAACATTCTTCATTACTTATATAATGGTGGACGGTTGGGCTGGAGTTGCTGCCGAAATACTGAGGTTGAAACCCTTGATAATCTACCACTTGAAGAATTTCTTCTTGGTTAAGACCAAAAAGGACCGGGAAGAGGCAATGGATCCCGGAACCATTGGTTTCAATACTGGAGAACCTCAAATACAGCTCTACTTCTTACTCGGTCTTGTTTATGCTGTGGTTACTCCTATCTTGCTTCCTTTCATAATCGTGTTCTTCGGGTTGGCTTATGTCGTATACCGTCATCAGGTAAGAACTTGCATCTTTCCGGATTAGTAGTAGTGATAACAAACTTGCACTGTGTACTTTGCAAATTCTTACTCTCATACGTACTTAAATGAACTTGTAGATCATAAATGTCTACAATCAAGAGTACGAAAGTGCTGCTGCATTCTGGCCTGATGTTCATCTACGTATCATTGTCGCATTAATCGTCTCGCAGCTGCTACTAATGGGATTATTGAGCACAAAAGAAGCTGCCTCATCGACGCCATTGCTTATCACCCTTCCTGTATTGACCATATGGTTCCACAGATTCTGCAAAAAGCGGTATGAACCGGCTTTTGTCCGGTATCCTTTACAGGTTGGCTATCTGTTTAACCCATCTTACATGACTAGAAGTAATTCAACATACCCCTATCCAACACTTTTATTTGTGTTTGTAGGAAACAATGATGAAGGATACATTGGAGCGAGCAAGGGAACCGTACTTGAGCTTGAAAGGGTTCCTTCAGAATGCCTACATGCACCCGGTTTTCAAAAGTGCCGATGACGACGACATCGATCTAGCCATGCGAGCGTCCTGGGAAGAGGAACCTTCCCTCGTCGCTACGAAACGCAAGTCGAAAAGGTCTACACCGTTTTCAAGCAAACATGTTGGATCATCCCTCTTCCTGCCTGAAGCAAACACAGAGATCAAAGCCTGAAAAATGCTTTAAGTTTTGTGGTTCATAAGCCCGTTGTTTGTACATTTAGGTGTTGGGGAGGTTAAACTGGCTAAAGTCCCTTCACATAAGCTGCTTTTCGAAGTTAGCAGGGTGATGTGTGTCCCACATGATAGTAAGGTATATTAACTCACTAGCTTTGATAGCCTACACTATCGATTTGAAACTAGAAACTTCCAGAACTAAAAAATTAAAAGGGCACCCCATTTCTCTCTTCATCTTGAAGAATGCCACTTTATAACTTCCTCTTCGACTTTATTTAATTACTTTATTTGTATTTATCATTTTTTTTGTTAAAATTTAATCTTTCACCTGTATATATCTAATGGTTGATTTATATACTCTGATCAAAACAATCGATTATTCTGATTAACTAAATTAAATTTTTATAAATTATTCCAATAATTTTATTATATTTTTTTATTAAATAGAATTAACGTTATTATTGATTTGATGATGATTTGGTCTTTTATTTTCAAGTATCCAAGCATAACCTTCTTGCTTCTCGAATAATGAAATCAAGTCTCCCTCTCTTTCCGGCACTTAAAAGCTAGATCTCCATGCTTATGGCGACCGTTGTCAACTGACTTTTTCATCATCAAATCTCTGGCGCCGTATAATCCCAGGATCATACGGCTGGCCTTTGGTAGGACTAATATACGACCGTCTAGACTACTTCTGGTTCCATGGACCAGACACGTTCTTCAGGTCGAGAATTGGTACTAATGTTCCCCGGATTACAAGCCAGGCTGAAAGAAGTGAGAAAATTATCCGACCCATCAACGAGCAAGAGTTTTAACCCGGCGGAAGATATGGAGCTAGTGCACTCAGTCGTTTACGAGACGTTGCGCTTCAATCCGCCTGTCAGGATTAGGACGGTAAATGAGACGAGATAGATCGTGAACTATTCGAGATCGACTCGATTAAGGCTCGATAAATAATCGGATCGAATGTACTCGACTCGAGCTCGACTCGAGTTCTTAACGAGCTGAAACGAGCTACTTGATATTCGACTCGAAAAGCTCGTGAGAAGCTCGAAAATATAATATATTAAGATTTTATTTAAAAAAATAAATTAATAATAATATTAATATTTATGTATTGATTTTTTTATAAAAAAATATAATAAGATTTTATGTATTTAAGGTTCATGTTCGAGTTTGAGGCTTCAATCGAGTTAAGTTTAAGAATTTTTTTTTTCATTTTGAGCCTTTTCGAGCTGTTCACGAGCTTCAATTCAAGATTTCGAGTTCGAGTCGAGTTTGAAAATTTTAAGCTCGCGAGTTTTCGAGTAGAGTCGAACTCTATTTCAGAATTTTTAAGTCGAGTCGAGCTCAGCAATACTCGAACTCAACTCGACTCGTTTACACCCCTAGTCAGGATTCAGTTCGCTCGAGCGAGGAAGGATTTTGAACTCAGTGATACGGTCGAACAAGTAATATGCAAGAGAGGATTATGTGTTACGGTCGGCTTTGTTAATACTAGCTAACCTAGCGTGTTTCAAAGGTATGATCCAATCAGTGGGGGATCTGGTAAAATCACAGCCGTTTAGAAGGCCAAGACAATATCCAAATACTTTTTTTTTAATCAAATACACGATCTTTCATTTAATTTTTTCGATTTTTTTATATATTTGGACATTTTTGTATAAAAACATAAAATTGGGTAGCCGAAGCTTTGAAATAACTAATAATTAAAAGTTACCAATGACAATGTTCTATAACATATTTTCGAGTTTGAAGATAAAATATATTCGAGCTCAAATCATTACGAATATATATATATATATATATAAGTAGAATACAGTACTTGGTGCAGTAAACAAGTAATATCCAGACTAATATATTTAGGTTTCGGCGTCTCGGATACTGAAACTACTATTATGGGTTTGTTTTTTAGTCTACATATGCATGTCTATACGCTTACGGTATAAGTGTACAAAGTTCAGTTTATGCATGGGGTATTTGATATTGTATACTGTGTATTTTCAAGTGACTGCCTCGACCAGCCTGACTAAGGTAAATTCCATTCTCCATCATTGAATGAACGGCCCTGGCGACTCGCTGGTAGATCAAGTCGCAGAGCTGTGGGTGATTTTTAGATTGTGAATCAATTGTCGTAGGTTACCAAGGGTTTCTGGATCACCCTGTAAAGGAAGTTAATTAGCACGAGGAATTGTTCAAAAGGCATTGCTTTTCTTCTCTAGAAACACAGAATGTAGCTTACTTGGAGGATATTGACATATTTGTACTCCAACAACTTCCACGGAACGTATCTTGACAATTGTGGTCGTGTCCTACTTGCAGAAACAAGTTCCAAACATCAAATAATGAACCGGTAAATATGATACATACATGTGTATGTGTGTATATATATGCATCTATGTATATAGAGAACATGTATTTTTGGCTAACCTCTGGTTTTCTGATAGTCTGAGATAGCAACCGATGACGTTTCTCAGCAGGCGCGGTAAATTTTCATCTTCTTCACCAAGACTTTCGATTACATTTGCCAAACATTGGCTTACACCAAGATATCGTTCCACAATAATGAAACAGTACTTGAGACCTCTCTCATTCAGTAAGATTCTGTAAATTATAAATGTGGCAACCTGTAGTGTACATTATATTAGCAGCTGATAATGTTAGTTTCAAAAGAGTAAAACAACTGATACAAGTACAACAGTGATGGATTTCTCTATTTGAAGAATCACTCACTGTTTTTGACAATGTCCTGCCAAACTCCAAGCAGCGTAGGCAACTAGGAAATATCTGGGTAGAAAGAAGATATTCGACCACTTCTGGATTATCAACCTGCGTAAATCGAATACTTGATAAAGACGATCCAAGAGAAAGTAAAATACACTAACCCAAAAAACCATTTAATTCAGCTCCATGAGCTGTAATGATGCAAGTATTCTGCAAGAAGAGAAGATGTCAGGGAAGGCTACCTTTGCTAGGGAGCCAATGACACCTAAGCTAGTGAGCCTTAGACATTCATAGTTCCTTTCACTGCTCATGGTGTTCAGGAAGGGGTAAAGATACACCGGCATAGTAGCTACAAAGAAGTATTTCAATTAGAACAGGTTTTATATGCAACCAACAAATTATGGTATTTTTATACAAGGTAGACTAATACAATTAAAGCAAAACAATTGAATTTGAAGACTTAATGAAGTTCACAAAGTAACCATGTATTTGGAGGACTAAAAGTGAAGTTACCTCTGATGAATGGCATCTTTGTATCAGGGTGAGAAGCTACAGGCTGTAAAGTTCCAAGGAATGGGTGTAATTAAGCTTTTCAAAGAATTAACAGTTAGCATAATGTAAAAATACATAGATAAATACATACTTTACTAGTGTTAACCAAAGAATTAATCATCTTTGAAATTTTTAACTCCAAGCTTAACATATGAAAATAGGCTACAATGACAAGAATTCATTTTATACAATATAATACTGCATGTCTGGACCAATAACCATTGATTGAATCATTGAAGCAAACAGACTAAAACTTGCCAATGTTCATGCACAAAAAATAAAACTAGAAGAATGGACCTGGAGTAGTGCTATGGCATTGCAAACTTGTGTTACGGCTTTTTCTGTAATGCTGTCGGATAATAATGGACTGTAAGCTGAAGTTATTACCTGAATAATGAAAAGATAAACAATCATGTAGTGGTGTGGGCATTTCATGTATCAATAAAGCTTTCAAGTCTATGATTTTCTTGGAGAATAACATTGGTCAGGTAGACAAATAATATTGTTCTATAGATGCATGAGAATTGATTATTACAATGAGCAAAATAACAACATGAAAATTTTAAATTGATAAATAAACTATGCTTGCTAGATGCATAAACTGTACTTAGAAACGATGAGTATTAGATATAAGTATGTCCTTCATACGAATAAGTTTATCGTCCTCTTCAAATTTTATCATAGTATTAAAGAATCGATCATATCCATGTTTGAAATTAATATTAACATTAATACTTTAAGAAAATGAAAAGTGGCAAAACTAATACTTAAAAACAATGAAAATAAAAAAGTTGAAGAAACATAGAATAGAATGAATCAGCAAAACCTACCTCTAAAAGGACCTTCATAGTACCAAAAGAATTCCATAATAAAATTGCCAAATTCTCACAAGTGTGCCTATTCTGAGGAGATACAAAAAGATTACAAATGAGCCAAAAACATCATACGTATTACTAGAAAGCTAATTATCCAATGATCAGAGCCCTAACATTGATGAAATAAGATCTCAGGATAACTTGAAAAGTATTTTTAAAAAAAGAAAAGAGGGTAACGATCATGAAAAAAGAGTGCAAATCCTTTTGAAATATTAAAAATGGTTCAACCATTCTTTAATGACCGAACAAAAACTGAAGAATAAGATTCCTGAGACGTACAAACTCTTTCAAATGGTTTTTTTGTGTTATTTTTTTTTTGATAGGAATTGAAGGCCTCGTTAAAGTTTTTTTGTGTTATTTGATCACCTTTCTTTCTTTCTTTTTGAGAAAACAAAGGAAGCTGAAACTATACCTTGCAGAGAATGTCAAGAGACTGCTCTCGGGTTTCTTGAGAATCGAGTCCTCGAATCAAACGAGTGATGCCGGCGGTAGCGTTGCGAATGGAGTCGGCTGCCGCCGCCGCAGCACCTGAAACCATTTCGTTCGTCGGAGAGAGACTGGAAAGGAAGAGAGAAGAAAAGAGCAGTGAAATCTGTGGATGTGTTATAGGTATAAAATGTGCATTTATTAGTGTGAGTAGCACAAGGAAATAACCAGAGAAGAGTTGAAAACGGTAGTGATAAAAAGGGAGCGAGTCGTACGTTTCCTTGAGCAGTCGCCCACTCGCACTCAAATTCCCAGGTTGTCTTTTGTTCCCCTTAGGACTCTTGTCAGGTCATGAATGTCGACAAAAGTATTTGGATTAGCAAAACCAGATTCCCTGATTTTGCTTCAACCCACTGGGACCACAACCTCAGGGTTTCAAAAGCACTTAATTTAACAATTCAGTGTTTTTCGTTCAATTAAACTCTCAAATTCTGAAGAAAAAAAATGATAAGATGTAAATTCATATTATATTTTATATTTTAGTGATCTAAATTATTTATAAATTTATATCTTAGTATATTTTATTTTTTGCAAGTTAAAATATGTACTGGATGTGTATTCTAACTAAAATCCATCATGAAACACACTGCAAGTCATTGAATGATGGCAACCTAAAATGAAATATGAACTTCAAGCCATTCAGGAAAAAAAATCACTGAAATTCCACATTTTTTAACTTCAAATTTTCTAATAACATGTTTTGATTATATGTAACTTTCTTGATTAGTCTTTGATGAGAAATAACCCAAGCAAATAAAGACCATGATAAATTCTGTAATGAAATACCATTGGACTAAAAAAAGAATATAAAAGTTGCAAAATTAAAAATAATTTGAAATTATGTGTATAAAACATTAGTTTTTATTTATTATTTATGAATTAAAAAACATATTTAAAGTTCTCTATTATACTTAATTAATCGGCACCTACAAACCAATTATATTCAAATATATTACAATTATGGCATTACCATAAAATCATATGATTTTTCAAATACATCATTATTAATAATCTGTTTCTTATTTCAGTATTAATTAAATTTTTTGATAAATGGCATCACATAATCTATCATCAATATGTAGAATTATATTCTAATAAATAATGTTTATTAAATATTAATTAAGATTTATTTGTGGATGCAATACTAATTTAAATGTTTTTATATTGTTTTTGAACTTGAGTAACTATTTACTTAAAAGAGAAAATCATTTGCTAGTCTACTGAGAGTAAACATTAATACCATGAGTTCTTTTATTTTCCTTACGCAAACTATTTTACAAATAAAAGAAACATTCATTCTGCTTCACTATTTTGACTATCAGATGGAACAGTTCCTTGTGGATCCAAGTCTCCAACTCCCACTGGATCTTCATCCCTGTTGTCAATTTCATCATCTACATATGCCTGCGAGCTGACCACATGACCCCTGAGATCCTTGTGTTTTAGATTACCTGTAAATATCTGTGAGGCTCAGTACTCTTCCAAATATATTCTACATGATAACAAAAAGTAATTAACTACAAAAAAGGAGTAAAAATAAGATGACGTTGCAAATACCCATCCAGAAAGTGCAGCCGTTAGAGGTCGAATGGAGAAGAGCCTTGACACGAAACAAAAAGCGTTCCAGAGATCTTTTAGTAGCAGGTATTTTGCCGGTGATGGCTGTTTGTTTCAACCCCTTCAAATACCAATACATACATTCAATATAATCTGTCTGCTACCATTTCAATGTTTCTGACTAAGCCTCGAATGGATTCAATATGCATGACTCACCTTTGCTTCTGAACATAGGGTCTGAATCGTTCGTGTTGCCTTTTGAAGTTCTTTCACCTGATGCAACAAACAAGCAGTATGGTGTTTCCTTCTAAAACTTTGAACTTGGACTGAGCATGTCTGAAAATATATATACTGCATCTTATCTTACCAATAGAAGTATGACTTCATTATGCGTTTGGAAGTGAACCTGCAAGAAGTCAAACGCTGCAAAAGGCCGATATGTCAGTTCTCTGAACAGACTGCAATAAACGACCGTATTTTATTTCCAAGATATAACTACCTTTAAGGAAGGAATCAATGAATTTCCCACAATACTTGACTGCCATGGCATGCATGGAGACCTGTGTCATCATCTTAACACGTCAACAAGATTACTACCTGAAGCATTACGACAATAAATAGGTACTAACTACTCAGATATGTTGAAAAGATATCTTTCTAATGGGCAAAGGCCTCTATTGACCATCCACCGTATATACTTCCAGTGTAGATAATCTGTCCTTTAGCTTTTACTCTAGAAAAACCTAGACGTTTCCAACTTTCCTCAACCTCAAGGCACAGGCAGGATATAAGCTGTTAGCAATAGACATACACATTACAATGCACCAGAATTACTCAACAGCTAGTCACTGCAGTGGGACAGGCCTCATTGGGAGAAACGTTAATGTCAAGTGTCATAGTTTCATCTCTTCATCATCTTCCTTTTCAGAGAAAGATTGCAATCCAAAAAAAATCAATAAAGGAAGCCATCATTCTGCTTAAAATTCTTACAAACTAATCTAAGGAATTTTTACCTTGCATAAAGTGTAGTCATGAGGAAGTACAAGATGAAAAGCTTAAGGGAAAATGTCATAAAATCTAATCCAAAATGGAGGCCATTCATGAACATAAATCAGAGACTTGTGTGATATACCTAATGGTGCGGTGGGGAAGGTTCAAGGCTGAAAATATAACATATATATATTTATTATCTAAGAACTGTTGGCAAAGAAAACCACAGTTCTATTTGGTTACCTTATCATGGGTTCTGCACATGCTAACTAGTGCAACAACCACATTAACATTCTTCTGCATCCTGATCAAAAGTGAGTGAACATTTTCTGGTTGAACACCAGATCGAACCTTCTCTAAGCAAACAACTTCCTTAACCTGAAAAGAGAGCAAAAGGATAAGAATTGCAACACTTTTCAATTGTGTTTTTCTACCTCTTTTGTGATCAAAGGAAACAAAGCAGCAAAATTTACTGGTACCAGTTTGTCGAGAACTGTGAGGTTTACTTCAAACTGCACATAAGGACCAGCCTCAATCAACATATTTGATGGGAAACAATAAGAGTAATCTTTGAAAGGAACTTGGAAAACAGAAGATGTCATACCAGCACACGGTACCATGAGAGGAATGTTGCAGAACATAGAGTTGGGAAACCATAATCCTCATCATCTGCCATTGCCGTAAAAGAAACCTGACAGAGATATACCCTTTTAGTGCCACTACATACGAATCAAAATGAATTCAATCAATAAGAATTTCCAAATAAACCTCATGGTTTGTTCTAACTAGTAAGTGGATTTTTTTAAACCAAATTTTAAACAAATGAATTAATGCAGAACAATGGAACGATAAAAAAGAGAGAGAATCAAGGGAATAAATGAGAAAATGTGAATACGGAGTAACTTAGGAAATAGAAGAAATAAAGGGTAGAATCAGAAAGAAGAGAGAATTAGGGAAGGGAATCCATTTTGTCAAATATTTAGAGCCCAACAATCAGGAATCCAAAAACTCAGCAACCATTATTTATGTGAGAACTAAAACAAGCGTCCTCTGAACCACTATTTATTTCTCTTGGAACACTGCCAGATCCCTTAATTTATAAACATGCAACGAAGGAAAACTTATGGAGCACACTATTAACCTTGCACAAGATGTCACTCAAATAAATCAAATACCTGCGGCAAAATTGAGCAGGCAAGCTCATCCAGCAAATCAGAAGTTGATTCAGAATATTCCAAGTAAGCCCGCAGTATCTTTTGCACCATTTCTCCCTGGAAAACCAGCAAGTCTTTCAGTATTTATATCCGTAACCACATGGTAGCTAAGTAAGAAATCACAATCAATAAATCTAAGACATGCAAAACATAGTGTAATTGGGTCTCACTTTGTTCTTCCAGCCATTTTCAAGATTTTTGCTGTCCCAATTATGCTTTAAAAGCTTCATAGCAGAAGATCTAAGCCTTCCATGCAGTAAATAAAGGATCTGGCTATACCCTGACTTTTTGTTATTATCATCTCCATCCAACTTATCCATGACCTTCTGAATTGATGTAACAACCGACTCTAAAGTGAAGAGAGCCTCTGATGCCAGAATAAAGGAAAAAGAACATGCTGTGAAGCAAATCTGATACAAATTAGATACAGTGAAAGGGTAAATAAGCGCCATAAAAGAACTACAGTACAAAGGCAAGAGATTTGCACCTGCATCAAGGATACTCTCTACAAATGAACAAGCACCAAAACATGAGTATTCTATTGTTCCGGACGAAGGACAAGGCTGGATGTCTAAAGAACCAGTATCCAATGCCTTATTGGGCTGAAAGGCCTCAAGGAGATCTGAAAGAACTGATTTATTCCTTTGAACTTCAGAAAGGTTTAGCATCTGTACAGGGAAAAACTATTTTAGTAGTAGAATATAACTTTTCCAAGAAGAAATTTCCTATCCAAACATCAACCAAAAAAACATCAAATATCAAGTTGGAAAGTGCTGCATGTACAACCCTAGGGAAAGGTGAGAGTAAAAGCATTCACCTTACTGAAACTACTAAGTATTTCCTTAAATAGCATAGTAGAAATTGAAGATTTTGATGGCACAACACTGGTTAAATCTGGGTTGCCAGCAGCAGTGGATTGAAAGTTCCAGTGTTCTTGACAAGTTTCACCACCTACAATATATTTGTTAAGACTTTAAGAATATACAAGGCAAAGTCTTGGCAACAAAATGAAAACTAAATTGTTACCTTCTTTAAGAATACAGAATGAACTATCTAAATTTCTCTTAAGACTTGGAAAGAGAGGTCTAATCTTGCTAAGAAACTCATTCAAAGTCATCCTGGTAACAGCAGCAGTAGTCATGCTTCTTGAGGAGCATTGTTTGCCCGCAGCAGCAAAGTAATCCAGCTTGTGGTGAAGATCATGAATAAGGTACAAGAATAGGGGCAACTGTCCAGAAATAACAAGTTTTCTGCATATCACCTAATCATTCTTTGACAGATTTGAAGGATTGAAAGAACCTAAAAAAATTAATGTACCTCAGACACAGGGTCAGAGCAACAGGAGTCATGGTCCTGCATTTAAAAAGTAGCACTAAATGACTACAATCATTCTTTTGATATAAAACCACAAAACTAGGCCTCATTTAGGAAAACTGCATTTTGATATTTTAGGAAACTAAAAGCTATGCCCAAGGGGTCAACAAGCAATGAGCCAACAACTTAATTAGCAGATACAAACAATAGAGCTGTAACAATACACTAAAAATTGATACAGAAATCAAACCCAATGGTTCTACTTCTGATTTCAAATTGTATTCTACTTGTTGAAATTGGAAGATTTAACCATCTATAACCAGCTGATTTTAAGGCAAGTGTATAAGAGACTGGTTGATAAAAAGAAATCAATATGAAGTTAGATTGAATATTTAGCCATTCAATTAAAGAGAAAATAAAAAGAAAAAGATAAATTAACATCTCCCCTAAATCATAGATCAAGAGAAAATAATACTGACATACTACCAGAAACCAGTATTTTTTTTTAAGAACAGAGATTTTAGTTATACTAGATCCATCTACAACTATATCTGCTGATTATAGTTTCTTCATCAATGCTAACATGGAGCCAAATGCTAGATCCATCTGTTTTTTTTTTAAGAACAGAGATTTTAGTTATACTAGATCCATCTATTTTCATTGTGTGAATCATATACAACAAACGATTATGAACTTCTCAGTCAAATACCACATTCTAGTGCAAATTTTAAAGGAACCATGCAAAAGTTGAGGGTTAACCAGTGAGGAGACACACCTTTGAAAAAGTAAAAATGGAAAAGCATTCCAATAGAAGAGGCCTGAACCTAAATTTCTGTGATTCCAGATCTTGGGAAACTGGAGAAACTTCTATTAGCACCGACTCATTAAAGGCATGCAAATGGTGATCCATTGATGCTGATGTTGCCATATCCTTTGAAGAAACCTCATCTGGATCCTCTTGGCTTGTCACCGCTCCTGCTTTTTTCAACACATCCAACAATGTTACCTGACGAAGTTTTCCTTCTGCACCAGTTGTTGAGGTCTTTGAAATCTTTTTATTCTTCCTCTTGTTTGGAGATGTGCATTCGAGTGTCACCTTAGGCCCATTCTTCTTTTCTTTAGTCCCCACATAGGTTGGTTGGTTTATGAGTGTTGATCCACAATGCTCCATTTGAAGATGGAGCTGAGGTAGTACTACAGGACACATTTTGATGGAATGATTTAACAAGCTTTCAAGAAATCTGTATCAACAGCCAGCCGGTTCTTACCATCAGTATATAGAATTAGTTCACGATAATGTAAAACCCCAAAGGATAAACCAATGTAGCTGTAATTTATGATAATGAATGAGTCTATCAAGAACCTCAAGATAATAACATTTCCCTAAACTGTTCTATGTCATGCCAAAATCTGACTATTATATTTAAGTTGGGAGAATAACTAAAACTTCATAGTTCCATTACACACCAATTTTGTTTATGTTCTTAAATCCCCAATTCAATGGATAAGGAGAAAACCACACTTAAAGGTTGTGTTTTCTACAAAATTTCAGGCGATTTCAAACTTCAAATTTCCATTCCTTGTAAACCACATCCACACTCCCCGGCATCTTTCCTCTCAAACCCAGTGGTCGGCCACCACTTCGCTGCCGCGACAGTCACCGTCAATAGTCTCCGACCGTCGCTCGGCGGCATCGGAAAAGGAAGAAAAATACACCTTTTGAATCCTCTCTTCACCCCAAGCATAGATCGGACGTTGGTTTTTTCAAAATCGAAATAAATCGGAGTAGATCTAGAAGAAAAAATTTGCGTTCAGACGAAATTCTCCCCGTCAGACAGGAAATTAAAAAGGTTCGTGGAGTTCGTCAAATGATGATTTCTCAGTGGCGGTGCTTGCTTCCGAATTGGGTATAGAATCCCGTCCTTTCTTTTTCAACCACGACACTGAAATCGAAGACCAAGACCACTGGCTCGACTGTCCCCAGGATTTTTCCGACCTCGTTCTCCTCCAGTTCTTCTGCCGTCAGTGACGCGATAAATTCGGTAACTATATCATTCGTATCATCGGAAAGTATTTCCCGTTGAACACAGGGACTTCCTGTTTTGCTCGCTTCGAAGTCATCATCAAGGATATACTTCCACAATGAACATAAGCTGACTGATTCTTCAATTTTGCCGCCCTTGTTGGCTCTACCGAGCATTCTCTGTATCTTTGAAGAAAGAAGGATTCCGATCAGTTTTCAAATTCTGCTTTGCTTCAGATTTTTGTTATAATCTGAATTTAATTGTCTTCCGAGTTGAGAATTTGGTTCAATCGTCAACGCGTGTGCTTGAGTTATATCGGATTTGGCGTTAAATCCAAGCTTGAGATTTTCTTCGGGTCGTCTTATGATGGCAAGTAAGGTGACTAGTTCTGCTGGGAAAAATTGTTTTACGGTGATCATTTTCAACATTCCAGAGCGTCTTCATCATAAAGGGCTTTGGCTGGTATTCGATAAACATGGAGAGGTGGTCGATTCTTTCATCCCTAACAAAAGAAGCAAGGGAGGAAGTAGGTTTGGCTTTGTTCGTTTCACCAGATTGGAGGACGCAATGAAGGCTATCAACTGTGTTGACAGATCTAGGATTCGCGGCAATGAAGTTAGAGTTTTTTTGGCCAGATTTCAACCCCGGGAAGCTTTTTGGAGAAAGAAGTTTTCGGGTTTAAAACCAGCCGAGATCAAGAGTAAAAGGGAGGATGTTGGGCATTTAGAGGCTCCCATTGTGGGTTCTGTTGACGAGGACAAACTGCTAACTTGCAGAGGCAGCTTGGTAGGGTGGTGCAGAAATTTTTTAAAGATGAATGAGTTGGCTGCCATAATGCATAAGGAAGGCATTTTAGGCCCGAAAATCATGAGGCTAAGCGGGTTAGCAGTTCTAATCATTTTGAAGATGATGAGAGTAGGGATTTCACGCTGAATAATCAGATGGGGGCATTGAATAAATGTTTTGGCAAAGTAGAAGTGTGGTCGGAAAACTTTCATTGCAGCAGCCGTCGGGCGTGGCTTTCGTGCAAAGGGATCCCACCGTTTTTGTGGAATCCCTCCACCTTCAGAAGCATTGCAGACAAATGGGGAGAACTTATCTCCATTGACGAAAGATCTGTGAATCCAGGTTCTTTTGAAAGGGCTTTGTTTCAAATTATTACAAACCGTCAAACACGTGTGGAAGAATCCGTTGTTTTGAAAGCCGGGGACTTGTTATTTACAGTTTGTATTTCTGAGTTTGAGCCTTGTTTCAGTCCCGACTCAGTCTGGGTAGACTCGTTCTTGATGGATGAGGCAGTTGCCTCCCGTTATCTTTGGTGGGGGAGCTCGTCGGTGTCTCGCCAGTTAATTCTACCGTGGTGGAGGTATGTCTTGAGGGAGCTGGCAGAAACGAGGACTCTTCGGTGGAGAAGATTTCTGAGCGTTGTTCTGTGGATGAAGAAAGTCTATTATGTTGTATAGGGGAAAGAGTTAGTGGCTGCTTCTCGTCGGGTGGGGAAGTAGTGGAAAGGAACATAGGGGAGGATTTTATTATGGGCTTAAGGAATTATGCTGCTGGTGTGGGGATTATTCCATCGGAATTCGAGGATGTGGTGGAGCACGAGAATGTGCTGGATCAAGGGGCTAGAGAGTCAGTTTTTGAAAGCAGCGAAAGTTGTATGTCTGCACGTGATAGAGAGAGAATATTGGATTTTTTTTGATTCATCCAACTTGGATGGTCGGTTAAAGGCAAAGGTGATGAAAAACGTGATTAACATTATTAAGAGGCGTGCTATTAGTAGTTCCAAGGGTGTGGAGGCCCATCAGGATGGGGATGCCCAACAGGTTGGGGCGGTGGTTGACAGGATGGATGGCAGAGATATATCGGGATTAGCAGAGAAAGTTTCGGGTCCCCAATTAATGGCCTGATACAGCCAAATCAAGCAGCAGTAGAAGGTTCAATGTGTGGGAGATTTGTATGTTCTGGGAGCCAGATTATGATTCCATTTTTCCAGCTTTGGAGCCAGAGTCTATAGTTTGGTTTTCTGCCCTCTTCGTGTGGATGGAAGCTCCTGGATGTCTGTGTTTTATTTTGGATACTATGGTTTGAGTCAGCTATCATTTTTTCTCTCTTTTTTAGGTGTTCTGTTTTCTGGTGCTCTCAGAGTCAAGAGTTAGACTTTTAGTTGGGTCAGTCCTTTAGAGGCTGTTGTGGTTGATATTAGGTTGAGCTACTGTTGCTGCTATGGGGGTGTTTTTTGGTTGTTTTATGGTGTTTTGTTTTATGTACGGGGTCGATATCTGGATGTATTTTGGTGTTCTTATGTTCAATGAAATCCTAAGGCACTCTTTTCCTCCTTCCGCTGATTAAGGAGCTTCTCTTAAGTCTCTATAATCAAGAGGGAGGTTTTTAATGAGGCCTTCAATTCCTATCAAAAAAAAAAAAGGTTGTGTTTTCTACCAAAGAAAACAAACCAAAATGAGAACCCAACCAAAAATGTGCTTAGCCTCTCCTCTTCTGAAGGGAGGGTTGCTGAGTTGGGAAAACTAGCTTTTTTCTTATAGAAGCATTGAACTAGCTTACTACATTCTATGTCACAGGTGAGGTCCAACATCTCTCCTTTTTCACATGATATAAGATATTTTTTCTTTTAGTATACCTAACATGCAATGCATTTTCCTTTTTGTAATCCAAGTGAAATTATATTACACGTGAAACTTGCGGGCAGAATTGCCCATTGTCTCTTCTTATATCTTGATCTGATTTGAGTATGATGGACAAACTAAAAAGGAGTGAAGGTTTGATGACATACACTAGATTCCTCATTCGTTTTAATAGTTTCTGTATATTGTCCACTTTTGTGGACTGACTTGTGAATTGAAATCTTCCATCTACTTGTGTGCAGAAGGCATTGAGCTGTAACAGTGAAGACTTGTAAACCCCACTTGCATGTTTAAAATCATGTAACTTATAATCAAAACCCCAGAGTAAACTATTTACCAGTTCCCTTATCCAGTTCACTGAATAAAAAAGTGAGAGACAAATAATATGTTTCTGCTTTCCTGTCAGAGACTGCCATTCAGCTTCTGAGAAGTACTGGATTGTAATAAACAAATTCATGTCAGCAAAATGGTCCAATCTAACATTATGAACAATAAAATAAAAATAGAGAGTTGAGACAGATCAAACAAAGTTTTAAGTACTTTAAGATATGGAACAAAGAACATAATTACTCTTTCTTGGGAAAACCTATTCAATATGTTTCTGTAAAAAAAATTAAGTCTAACCAAGTCTTTGAAGAATATGCTCTCAGCAACCCTTATTGTCCTTAATCTTGTAAACTTTTAGTAGGAATAAAAAAAATTAAGAAAAACAATATCTAAATGCAATAGAAGGATATATATTCTTAAACATGCAACCTGAAATCAATTAGCAATAAGTGGACAAAGGAAACCCAGACAATGGCTAGTACAAAGAGTACAATCGCACAGAGAAAATCATTTTAAATGCTATAGCATCATGAAACTCTGAGACATAATGGAAAAGGAATATGATGTTTGTGAGCGTTTCACTTGATCTCACCTTATAAGAGGGAAGTAGAATAGGACAGCCAAGTAATGCATCAATTCCACCAAGAGATCCTTGATTCGTCAACCGTTCAACCTGCAGTTGATATCAATTCAATAGAAGCATTCTTTTATAGTACTTACGATTACTAAGGCAGTAGACACTTACAGCTGATAGTAAATGAAAATTAGCAGGAAGAAATTGCAAAGAAGCATTCCTGCAAGAGAAGATTCCAAGTTCACTATACCCAATCTCTAAGGATGATGAAATTGACATTTTTGTTCAAGAGAAAGAATAAAAGAGCACTACTGAGAAGAAGAAGCCAATGGCAGAATATTCAGACAAACAGGAGACACTTCACCGTCCAAATTCATCCACAGCTCCCCTACAGAAGTAAAAAGTAGAAAAAATAGACTATAGTCTATCATGAGTTCACAGAAAGCTTCAGGCAGGAACAGGCAGCACTGTTAAACCTACCTTCTAAACCGCAATAAGAGATCCTGCTAGGCAACTTCCCACCATCAAGATCAGACAGAAATATAGATTCAAATTCTCCTAAATGCTTGCCAATCCTGCAATAGATAGACAATTTCGGGACATGCAATTAGTAGTTTTATTATCTTCATAAATGCTTACAACTTGCAATCTAAATAATAGGTTGTTGAAGTTGTCTCACCAATCCATGATAACAGGATGAAGGGTTGTACTTTCTAAAATTGCAGTCAGTTCATCATAAAAGAAGATCGATGACAAGCATGACTGTTTGCAAGATTCTAAGCCTGTTTCAAGGAGCTCCACAGCCTCGTCAGCATTTGATTTCTGTTTGCTCAAGAAATAAATTTGAGATCTCACAATGGTGAATGGACAGTAAAGAAAAAAACAAACATCCTAAGCTACTCAACAGGGAAAGAGAATGACAAGAAATTTCCTATATTTTCCTGTTAGTAGAAAGGACGAGAAAGGATTTCACCAACAATGCTTACAAGCACTTGGAAGCAATAAAAAAGTAAACATGGACAAGAATCAAGCATTATGCAGGAAAATAGTTCCAGCAGTGAATACAGTCCTGAAAATGTAGGTAGATTCAGTGTCAGTTTCTGCTCTCTTCCTATAATTTGCAGAACTATCGTTCAGCCTAAGATCCATCCAACCTGTTCGAACTGTTCATTCACTAAGGAGGCCTTAGTGCAATTATTTTTTATCCTAGAGAAGCTCTTGACTCCCTTTGAAACTGTGATTGCAGAAGAGGCATGGAGACTTTTCTTTATACCTTACCCAGAGGCTACAACTTCAGTTATACATTAGCTTTTATTATGGTCTGAACATTGGAAGAAATAGATTTCAATTGTTTCAAGCACAACTTTTAATCCCCATACGTTTGGTGCACTACTTTAAAATCCATATCATAGGTCTGGACTCGGGATGCACTGTTTGACAATTTAAGTACATTAAAGTGTTCCTTGTAACTGATGAAAAAATTATGTTCTTCAGGCTGCTTGTGGGTTAACTAGCACCAGTGACAGTTTAACTATCAATTTACATCACATCCTTCTCATAAGTGTTGTAGAAGGAATTCAGTCACTCCAAGCTCTAAGGTAGACTTTCTGACCATCAGCTTTAATGCCAATAATGCCTCAATCAAAGCAATAATTCAAACCATCAACCTCCTATAAGGAAACTTTTACAGTAGCTTCTTATGCATAAACACAAAGATAAAAGTTTTTCAAATTTTTCAGCAGGTTCTTGCTTTTGTTTTTCTTCTGAACAGTCTTTTTGGATTCGAGGATAAACGACAGGCATGATAAAAGACAGAAACAACAGCAATTCACCATGAAGATCACAACATGACACACGTAGAATGTACAGTTAAAATGCTAATATGCTGCAACTTTTAAAGTAAGATAAAGTGATCAGCAACTAAAGAACAATATAATCACCAAGGGTCACGGATAGGGAGGTACACTGATACTAGATCCTACCTCAAATGGCGATGATAAAGTAGCATTACTTTCTCCTCCTAGACATGAAACTATTTTCAATATTCCAATTAGACCCATCATTTTGTACTTCAGATCTGGATGACTGACCTGCCCAATTGAAGGTAATGCTAGTCAAAACAACCACCATTACTAAGATCCTTGAGTCAAATCTACAATACAGAAATTTTAGAGATAACGTCGAAAAATTGCACAAAAAGTCAATATTCAAAGCACTCTATGGTTAAGAGTCATGCTAGCACAACATACCTGCTTCCGAACAATTATAAAAAGTTCATTTGCCATGGAAGAGCCCAAACAGTCAGCGTTAGAGCGAGCTAGTAGTGTCATATGGCTGAAGACCTCATAAACCTGCACTAGATAGTGTAAATGGAACTGGCACATACAACTTTGTCCTTATAAAGCTTAGAGTGTAGAAAACAATGAAGCAGCATAAACCTTATAAAGATTTTCTACAGTCAATCCCTCCAAATAGTCCAGGATTCCTGAGAAGTACATTAAACTAATGAAGAACAAAATAGCAGAAAAAGATAAAGAAAATTCAAAAGCAAAAGCTTACCTACCATTTATATGAGAAGAAAGTGGAATGAGTTCCCTTGCATGTTTTGTGGCAAGTGAAGCCATAATCTGCAGAGCAGAACTAACTTCAAAACTAACAGCAGAGCCCACATGAGTAACTAGTGAACCAAGAACCTGCATAAAGCCGCATGAAAGTCTCTTAAAGAAATGTACTTAATCAGATAAGAGAAGATATTGATGCTTACTTCCTGTCTTGAATAGGTATCAGAAAACTCTTCAAAAAGAAGAGTATACATGTAGATGCCAAAATCCCTGGCCTTTTGTTCTTTGCAAGCCAATACATACTCAGCTAAAGAAAGGAAGGCCAGGAAATATTCCTAACAGAAAAATAAGGAAATAACAAAATGAGTTTCTGGAATATATTCAGCAAAATTCAAACAATCTTCGGGACAAAGAAGAGCAACATATACCTGAGCCAGTTCCTTGTTCCCACAAATGCATTGATCAAGCATAACTTCTTGAATACAACCTTCAGTAACTTTCTTCTTAAACACCTTTTCAATGTTTTTCCGCATGGACTTTCCTTTTGTGTACAATAGCACAAGCAGCCATATGTCAATTACTTTGTGATCTCGAGGTTTTTCAAGGCCATTTAATTCCTTCAAAATCTCTTGACAGAGTACCTATAGATAATGTGTAGATATAGAACAGGGTATTAAATTAGAACATATATCCTCAAATAAGAAAGAGGATATAGAAAACATGTATTTCCAAATAAGGAAGAGTATAAGTTACTTACACTCTTAAATTCAAGGCTAGATCTCAAAGCATCTAGAATGGATGCCTCAGTGTTGTCAACAAGCATTTTCCCTTTGAGTTTATTCTTTTGCATTGTGCGGTTATGTGGTATCCTAACAAACTTTAAATGCTCACGTATCTGTGAGATTATCCTGCGAACATTTAGTTGTGTGGCAGAGAGTAGTAAAAATCGAAGCAGACATGGCATGTACTCCGCATCAATTGTTCTAATGCATGATAGTGCTATAGTTATGACCTTCAATGTGAAGAAATAGAATTAAATTAGATATCAATGCAAAAGCAACATAGCACCTTAAAATTTTAATTGGCTGCTAAAAATATCTTGCAATGATGAAAAGAAGAGGGATCAAGTCAAGTCTCTCCAGTCGGAAAAAAAAAAGGAAAACCTTCTTGAAATGAAAATATTTTTATATTTGTTAGCATATTTAGTTGGGCTAGTGACATTACATATTCTGAAATCAACAAGCAGGAATATATATATATATATATATATATATATATATATATATATATACATTTGATGAAAATGCTGGAAGGACAAATAAAAAGTGCATTGAAGGCAAGTAAAGCTGATTATGGTGATCCAATTACAATTTGGAACTCCTCTGCAGATCTAGGTTTAATGTTATTAGTGGTTGGTTCAGTTCATGTTGTTTTCAAACAGTTTAGTTTCAGTTTAGACATTCCTGTAAGTTCAAGTCTCCCAAGCAATGAGGGTATTGGAAATTTCAAGGCCTCACATTGGTGTAGTAGTATTATGTATGGTCAACCTGTTTGTTGCTGTCTTTGTACTTACAACCCAAAGTTGGTTTCTATAAAGTCTGACCTAGTTTTCTAACTTTAGAAGACACAATAATAAGGTTTCTTTATCAATCTGAGTGAATACTGGTAATGTTCAGCACCTTTTATAGTTCTGAGTGCCTAGAGGACACAAAGTGAAATCACCTGGGTTTTATCCCTCCTCCTTAGAAACCTCAATTACCAAATTCAAAAGCCTTTGTGCTAATTTTACTGTTAATTGAACTTAACTGCTAAATCCAAGAGCAGCATCAATCTACCATTACAACAATTACCTCACTGTGGACAACCAAACAGACACAAACCAAGTTTCTAGCTTTTTGTGACCAATAAATAACTGAATTCTAATGATAGATACTCACTTCCAGTCCTGTATTTTATTTCAGGTGTAATTTTGAGCCCAAGAGCCCGAACAACTGACTACTTCACATTGCATTAAATAGTTGTATTGTTGTAGGAAAAGAAGACAAAATATTGAATCCGAGATTTATCAGTCTTTTATGCTGAAGAGCAGAAAGTGCCAATTGCATTACCCTTGCAATAACTACATTACATAACAAGAAATGTCTCCATATAATAGAACATTAAAATAAAATTTTAAAGGAAAAAATAAGGTAAACCACATAGGGGGGAAATTAAAGAGAAGAGGATAAACCTGTTCTTGCAGCTGATGATCCAAATTAAGATTTGAAAAAGAGTCGAGCACAGGAACAATTACAGATGGGTCCTCATGAAGCATTTGTTCAAGGGAATCAACCACAGTCTTGTTATTTTGATCACCAATGATCTCAGTCAATGATCCAATTATCTCTTTTTTCAAGTGTAAAGGGCAAATGGAAAGCACTTGCAATAACTTATCCGTGAAGGAACTAGGATCAACAACAAAATCAAGCCACCGAAACTGATTAATGATAAGCCTAGCAACATCGTCTTCAAGGGACAATGACGTTTGAGAATCTCCAGAAACTATGTCAAAATATTCAGGAAGTTTCTCAAGGAGCATAATTTGAAGATCTAATTGAATTGGTGCAACCAGCAAAAGATGTCGAACTAAGCTTTCATTTTTAGCGGGACCAAAACTACTTCCATTTGAAGAAATGAGAACCCTGAAAGCATTTAAATCAAAAAAATAATGAGGCATTTTCTCATCGATACCAATAGAATAAGCAATGTGAAAACCTTAAAACACTTTCCAACTGAACCTCGTAATATTTTCAACAACACATATATAGAAATTAACTGATTAATCCTAAAATTCATTCAATAATAAAGATAAAAGGCTTTAAAAATAACTAAATAGAATCTAGTACACTAAGTTAAAAAGCTAGTAAACAACATAGATTCTGCATGGAAATAGGGAAATCAAAAACGAAAAAAAAAATAAGCTGGCAATTGGAAAAGGGATGAACATACCTGCGAAGATTGGAGGGAGATTGAATGTAAGAAGAGAAACCAGAGAGAAAAACGGAGCGATCGTCGGTAGAAGAAAAACTGCGGGAGAGGTGGCGGCGGAGCTCGTAGGGATCGGAGGGCAGGGAGGGTGGGCCCAAGGGATTAACCAAGGTACAACCGCCCTCGGCCAATATTGAAACCATCTTATCAACAGCATCAACGGCAGTGCCTTCGTCATTTTGAGATTTGGGGATTTTGGGCGGAGGAAATGCAGGGACAAAGGAAGAGGAAGATCTCTTCCGTGACGGTTGTTGGTGGCGGAGAAATACCATGTTTTTTCCTCCTCTCAGAGTTCACTTAGAGACCCGTCGTTTCGACGGCGAGTCGGTGGTGATTGGTTTAGTGTTTTTCCCTTTGCTTATTTGGATTCATATCGAGAAACAACGCGCCAACTTTCAAGAGAAGGAACCGCTATTTTTCAATATATAATTTTTTGAATTAAGTGCATTACACATCCCTAAACTATGATTCCTACTTTAAAATGATCCTTGAATTTTATACATTTCCATTTAATCCTCAAATTATGATTTTCATTCTAAATTAGTCCTAAATCTGTTGAACATTTCAAATTTATCTTCAGACTGTAACCATCATTCTATATTATTACTCAAACTTTTAAATATTTTAATTTCATCCCAGACATTTGAATGATTTTAAGACATTATTGAATCATTCAAAATTTTGACCTCTTTAATTTATACAATGATTTATACTTATCACGTCAAAATTCAATAGACTCTCTAAAATTTATATCAAATCTCTACTATAAATCTATCAAAATGTTTTGTAATATAGTCTTTAAAATTCATTTGATAATTAAAAATTAAATCCATGTAATATAAGTTATCATAAACTATAATAACAAATAAATAAAAGTTTATTTATCATTTTTTGTATAAGCACCGGTATCTGATCTATTGATTAACTAATCCGGATCGGATACTACATAACTATAATATAATTTATTTTATATTATTATTTTATTTCTTTGAATATATCTTTATATTTAAATTCTTAATTTTTAACAGTTCGTTCTTTTAACTTATTAAACAACGCCTAAATTAAAAACATACTAGCTTGAAAACATTAAAAGAAATGAATGTTAGTTAATTTATATACATGTTTATTGAATTTTATAAAACCCTGATTTTTCTCTTATTGATGTGTTGTTTATCTTTTTTTTGTATATTAATCGACGACGGCACCAATTTTAATGTTGGTTGTCGACCACTGATATTATTTATTGTCTTTTTTCCTTTATATTGTTTCTCTATTTTCTTTTCTTTTTTTATTTCAATAAGTATGTCAGTATGACACGTTTTCATCTGTCTTTTTAGCGTATCTTTTGGTTATTTGGTCTTTTTTTAATTTATCTTTTTCTAAGGATTGATTTGATATCGCCACGACTAAACTGGATGGCGTTTATCTGATATCTTGTTGATCTTCTCTGTTTTAGACCCTTGAATTTGATGTGGATACTTGATTTGCAGTTGTTGATAAATTTTTACATCGCTCGAGTATGATTTACAGTTTGTCGGTAGTCTTTCAATAGTTTGATCTCATTATATATATATTGAAAATATATAAAAATAATAATAATTTTCAGTGTATATAAGAAACAATTGTATAAAGAGGATAACTTCTATTTATTACTAAAATCGTTTCATTAAATTCATTATATTAACTTTTAAAATATTTTTATTAACTCTTTTGCACATGAGTCCATTCAACGACTAAAAAAATTACTACCTTATAATTACTTCATACTATTAAATACAACTATTTCATATAGGTTGTAGTATAGTTTTCACCGATTAAATATTTTTATTCCTAAATTTATATCTAAGCACGAATGTTTGTTTCACGTCAAACATTTTTTTGAAAAACGTTTTTCTCATTTTCTTAGTTTTTGATTGGAGGAAAACTGGTTGATCAATAGGGTCTGATTTTTATAAAAAAAGATTTTTGGTTTGGGTCGGGATAGATTTTTTAAGGGGATAAGGTTGGGTCGGGTAGGGTCAAATTTAGTGGAGGGTGAAAGAACTCCGACCATACCAAAGGATAATAATGTGTTTTTTAAATTAAATCCTTATTTTATATCAGGTCATATTATATCGAATTTATACTATAAAAATTCGGAGTAAGTTGAGTCGGATCGGATAGACGATATATAATTTTCGGATCAAATCAGATTCGAGTGGATGATACATATTTTTGGGTCGGGTCGACCAAAAATCCGACCCGTTACCATCCCAATTGGTCAATGTAAAACATTTTCATTGTCACAATAAATTTCTTTACATTTTCTAAAAAGTGATTCACGGTCTAATTTTTTTGGCAAGTCATTTTCTAACACATTTTACTTCAAAAAATAATACTTACAATACTATTATTTTATGTATTTAATACTAATATAACATTTTAGTATCATTTTAATATAAATATTAATTATTAAAATATTTAAAATATATTTTATTAATATTTTTAATAATGTAATATTGTATTTTTTTAATTTTATAATAATACATGATGTTATGTTTTTTAGTTTCATATAATAAATTGTTCATAAATTATTAATAATGAATAATATTATTTATGTATTTAATATTAATATAATAACCTAGTAGTATTTTTAATAAAAATACATAAAATATATTTATTAATAGTTTTTAAAATACAATATAATATTTTTACTTTAATAAATAATTAATATAATTTATAATATTTTTATTTCATTAAAATATATTAATTTTTATTTATAACAGTATAAAAATAATATTTTAGTAATAATAATGAATAAAGTATTTTAAAATTACGAAGATAATATTTTTTTGATTAATTCGGGTAAGTACAATACAATATATGTTCAAAGATAACTCTTAATCTTTTGACATTAAATTTGACATTGGTCGTACACACCCCTAGCATTTATAATGTTCGAACTCGGATCCTAAACGAATAACAAAAATTCTTTTACCACAAAGGTCACTTGATTCATGCAATAAAAATAGTAATATTAAATTTTTATATTAAACAATATTTTTTATTATACTTAATATCTATAATAAATAATTTCTAAAATATTCATCAACTAGTGAAAAATAGTTTACACAATCTCTTTTAAACATCGTAAATTTTTCTTATTTAGAAAATATAATTTATTTTACGTATAATATTTTTAAAAAACTATTTTCAATTAAACAATCGGATCATAATTAAAAACTTTGTATTCGTCTTTTATCAATCAATTTTATTACATGAATAACTTTTTTTTATTAATATTTGTTATCAACTCAGATTTTAATAACCAACCAAGTACAATACTTGGTTGTTCACAGCGAGTCAAACGCAAAAGGTGAGGTCGTTTTCTAAGAAGGAAAACAAGTTGGTGGTTGGATGTGAACTTAAACTTTACGTGACTATTGAATTATTTGCATGGATTGCAATACTCCAAGTAGTATACTAGCTAACCCAATGGTTTCACACATAATAACTATTCTTCCTTTTCCTCCTCTTCTTCTTCTTTTATCTAAAAGAAGAGGATCTAAATATTTTTTAATTCGAATATTAATGTATTTAAATTTATATAATCATATATACTTTTATATTTAATAAATTTTAATTAGGCATGGAAATGAACATAATGTTCGACAATCCGTTCGGCAAAAAAATCGTTTATGTTTGTTTATTTATTAAATGAACGAACATGAATAAGATTTTATGTTCATTTAATTAAATGAGCGAACAAGAACAAAAAGTTTACTCGTTCATTTATGTTCGTGAACGTTCGATAATCCGTTCGTTTATGTTCGTTCATTTATGATTGTTTATGTTCATTTATGTTTGTTTATGTTTATTTGTTTATGTTTGTATATTCAGTCCAATCTCCAAACTCATTTGAATTATTAAGACCTATAAATTTTAACTTAAACCCATTAATATTTTAAAACCCAATTAATTTTAAACTCAAATAAAAATACTCAAATCAATTAAAAAAATATAAATCCTAAAATTATTTGGAAAGAAAATAAAATATTCTCAAATATAAACCTAAATAATTTTATGTTCGTTTACGTTCGTTCATTTGTGTTCGTTTATGAACGAACACGAACAAACTAAATTTTTTTGATGAACGAACATGAACAAAAAATTATGTTCGTTTAGTTGTTCGTGTTCATTTTCTTGTTCAGTTAAAATTATACGAACGAGCATAAACATATCCTCATTTGTATTCGTTCAGTTCGTTTATTGGCCTTGTTTTGATACATTAATAATTCATATCATAAATTTAATAAAATTTCATTATTGTTTAGTACAAATTTTTAATAGCGAATTTAATGTAGTCCAAAAATTAGACAAATGACATGTATTAGGACCATTACTATCATCGATTGGTCAAATGTTAAGTTGTCAACAATGAGGTCCGGTTGTTATTATTTTGGTAGTGATATTTGATTTGAATTCTGAAAAAGCAAAGAGATGATTTGAGAAACACGAGAGCTTCTACTAATTAATAATATTTAATTATAATATAAACTCAATTAATTGATTCACGTTTGTTACATGTTTAAAAAAAATTAGCTGACCCTTGTTTTCATATGTAATGGGGTAAGGAGAGGTAAGATAGTAGGTTGTCCCCAACGCAAGATTGAGAACAGCCTCCGTGGGAAACCTCCAAATTATGAAATGCCCTTCGTGGGACTCGATCTCACGATCTCAAAGTTAAGAACATTGTGCTCTACCAATTTGATCTAACGCCAAGTTGAGAACAACCTCCCTAAAATACCTCCAAATTAATTAATTCAAGTTTGTTACATGTTTACACCCAATTAATAATACTTTAAACATTGTTACGTACTATTTAATAGAAAATTCATAACTATTGTCATAATCTCTGACACGAAGATAAAGTGCTGATTTTTTTTAAAAATATTTATCTATTTTAGAAACCTATACTCTTGGAAGAAAATTCATAACTTAACTCGAATTGAGTTCGAATTGTAATTTCTTAAACTCGACTCGACTTGAAAAAAATTTAAATTTAAATCGAGTTGCAAAAACAACTTGAATAACTTGAAATTTTTAGTAATTAATATATTAATTTTCAAGTTTAAGTCAAAGATTGAGTTGAACTCATCGACTTTATATGACATATGTAAAATATCATTTAAATTAGAATGAAATAATTTTATAAATATTTATAATTAAATTTAAATAGAAATTCAAAATTTTGACTCGAGTCGACTCAAAAAAAATTTAAATCAAATTCGAGTTATAAAACATGACTCATCAACTCTAATAACTTGAAATTTTTTATTTGACTCTATCGAACACTCACTCCTACTTAAATGGAGCTAAAATTAAAATCGTATGATTTTAAAAT